CAGTAATCAGACTGCTTTTTTTTTTTTTTAATATTGCAAGTCATTACAGATCAAAAAGGTTAAACTATTGTGTAGTCATATTTCATAGTTAAAAGACTAACTCGTGGAACTAAAACTAAAAACAGACTTCAGAAGCAAAAATTGCAGCCACAGAAAACACCTGAGATACTTGCAACGACCAAACCAATTGCTTGCACACAGTCAAATAAAACATGCTAAAAGGCCTTACAACATAAAGGCAACAATGTACTTCTTCATTTAAGTTTTGTTATTGTAACAATCTCCTTCAGTGCATAGTACTAATCCTTGTGTTAAAAATCTTTCAACTATTTCTATTTACAGTTTTTGACATATGGTTAGAGAGAAGGTCTTAAAAATTAGCATAATACAAAATAGTTTATTTATGCTTTCCTAAACTTCATGGGTAACTTCAACATTGCCTTTAATCTAGTATGCAGTTACAAGTAATTTACTGGTTCTGAAGAATGCTTGCACTTCAGAAACAAAGACAACCTGTTTTCTTTATGGAGTTTTAGTTTCTGTATAATCATACTGTTCTCTTCACAGAGACATTTATTTTGTATCTCGGTCATCCTGTTGCATGAGATACTTCTTTTGATACTTACTTAACACACTGATGCCTCCCTCCCTCTCTGGGCTCCACTCTTGTTTCTTACTCTGGGATGTAAGACTGTTAGAGCTAATAATCTTATAAAGTATTTCTGCCACTGTAATACAAATCCCCTGTGATTTGGGGGTTTTTTGCACTAGTGCTGTGAAACCATGGTGTAGAATTGGTTAATTTTTACATTTCTGTATAAACTGCATACGTTAATGTTCTGTAATGTGGAACTAAGGCTAATACCATCAACTGAATCCCCTAGTATTCTTGTAAAAGATGTGTAACACTTGTGGTATCTTTAAAATCATTCACTGGAGTTTTTGAACCCCCTAACTCAGTCATTACTTCTTCAGGCTGCAAACCTTTGCTGCAGCACAGGGTTTAAACCAAAAGCCAATATAATCCCTTTTGAACTCTGTAGTATAAATCAATTACATATGAGCTGTGGAGATATTCTTGTGAGTACATTTCTGTATGGCTTTTCAGTCTTAAAAGGCCTTTGAGGTCAAATGAGGGCAAAGCAAGGTAGTAAAATTCTTTGTTGGAATTCTTGTTTTAAATCATTTTTATGCTTTGTTAATGTAGAAAGGTAATGCTATGTGCAAAACATAGCAAAGAAAATTGACTACCAAAAGACTGACAATTTGATTTCCTTAAATACAGTCAGGAAGAATATGCTTTCTAACTGTCTACCTCCATGGATATTAGTCCCAGGAAATGTAGTTCCCACAATATCTTGAAAGCCATATGTCCAACATTAATTCTTGTTCTTTATAAAGTCATATGTAACGGATCACAGGAAATTATGGGTTACAATTCTAGGAAGTGAAAGCCAGAAGTTAAGTGGAATATATGCAATCTAACTTAAACAAGAAAAGAGTTTGGGTGATTTTTTCTCTAAAAGGTTCCTAAATATATTTCACAGGAATATTCCCTATTCCCACTGCCCAGCCCTTCCCATTGTCTGACCTATGGGCAGTAACAAAGGCAAGGATGTTTAACGTATTACCCTAATCTCAAAATCTCATTTTAAGAATTTATTTTAACAGATACAATCTCTTTAGCAATCAACGTCTCTGCTTGGAGCAGAAAAGATGTAGGATGCCCACAGGATCCACTGAGCCCACAGTACTAAACATCATCAGCATGTGTCTGCTTACAAGAGAAGTGATGGAGGTACAGAAGGACAGATACAAAATAGTTTCTTAATTCTGACATGCATATCATTCCACAAAATACAGTAATGGCTCATGCCAAGCCCAGGTCTCATGAGTACAGAGTACAAATGTAGAGAAAGTTTAATAAATCATTTGTATATCACCTATTTCTCAAGTACTTTAAAGAAAAGCTAAAATTGGTGAGAAGTTTATCTACTGTAACATATAAGGTTTTTTGTGTTCTTCCTGTACAATGTGTAAAAATTTCCCATCTTTCTTTAACTTCCCCTGTTTCTCTGATAGAAGCCATAATTGTCCACCTGTGAAACGATAACTTTCTCACTACAGTCACTTATGTGGAAAATAAGGACTATCTATGCCTGGTGAGGACTAAGAAACTAAACTTAACTGGGAACATGATGCTGTCATAACTCATATCTCACTTCCCAAAGGAAATGGAAACAGACAAAACACAAAATATATAGCAGTCTACTGCATTTCTGATAGAGGCTTTGGCAGTATAAAGAATACCCCATCCACCTAAAGAACATAGTGTTTAACCGGACAGTGAAAGAAGAAATACTACAATCAGGTTCTGTCATCAGAGGAAAATATCTCCCTAGTCCATTAGACTTATGCTTACCTTTAGGATGCTTTTTTGAAGTTTTGTAATTTATGTAGCATAAAAATATCTCTACAGTAAGTCAAGAAAATTTTCAATACAGTTCAAGAACTATAGCTGTAAAGTATAATATCAGTTTGAGCCTTCAAATGTGGTAATATAACAATTACAAATCTTAATTTTTTAAGAAAAGTATTTCCTACTTTGTATCTTGTTCTATATTTTTAGCTGAAAAATGGCATGTAACAAAGCTTTTATTTTCATATAAATATCTGACATGTTTTAGGTTAAATTTAATTTTGTGAATTTCCAGAAAAAGTATTAATTTAATTTTCCTAAGCTTTTCCCTAGTTCTGCTATTCTGCCAAACAGCTAATGTAAAATCTGGTGACTGTAAAGAGATTTTGTTTCCCCTGGTTACAATGCTTCCATGAGATTACTGATGTCTTTCTAACTCAGTTTCAGTGAAGATATATAGGCTCTCCTTGTTTTGTTTCAGTGGCCTCCTATATCACAGTCACTGAAAGACGAAAACAAAATAGAGAAACCAATTTTGATTTTTCTTATGCTAAGCAGATTTCAAAAGCATATTAGTCTTTGTTTTTTAGGTGGAAACAAGTTATGTATTTAACATAATGTTAAAAGTTCCCTAGGAAGTTGCATGCTTTTATATACCCGGTTCTTGGCTATGCAAAAACAAATGTGCTCTAACAGGGTTGGAAGCAATCCTGTTACAACTGACCTTGCTCCTCTATTGTGTATACCATGTATCACCTACGGACTGTAAATTCTTTGATGCACAGGGTGATTTTCACTTTATTTGTAAAGTCCTTTACACTTTTCTGTGAGGGATCCCTTCTTTTTTGATATAGCTTTCAACTATGACCAAAAGATTTACTTGACTTTTGAAAGTCTAGGAATTTATCTCTATTTCTTTTTATTTTTGAGAAGTGTAATTTCTGCCTTTTAACTCACAGCACTGTTTGAAGACACATAGCTTTTAATTAAAACATACTTTCATATATTAATTTTTATGTACAAGTGATCTTACTGATGTCATCGGTACAACTCAGCTACTTTTAGTTAAGATCAGGTGACCACATACTTGGGCACTTGTAAAATAGATTTTGCTTCCCTCTAAGTCATCATACATAATCACAGAAAAGCCCACAAGGGACCTCAAGAGATCTAGTCATTTACTGCCCCAGGGGATCAATTCTTAGTTGCTTTCCTATAAATATCTTTATGTACATTCATTTCCCTTAAGTCATGTCTCATGTCTTATCCTATTTTTCCTACATGTATGGCTTGCAGGTTATCTGTCAAAACTCTCCTTAATTCAGTAGTAACATATGCCTGTAGTAACTGTACAGTTACCTACAGAACAGACAGGTATAGATTTATAGGAGTGAGGAAGGGGTAATGGTTATGGCTCCAGAATTAGGTGAAGATGGGAATTTCTGATGACTTATTTTCTGTTAGTTGTACTTCTAGAAGGGTGCAGGTTATTTTAAGAATAGAATTCAAAACATGAAAATGTGGTATTTACTGGCACCTCAAGGAGCAGTGGTAAGCAATTATGGCAGACAAATATTTCCTACATAACCCAACAAAAAGCTGGAGACCTTGGAGACAGACAGATATCTCAGTAGACTAACCATATTAGGTTCTTATTGCTTTATAGGAGGTATTTTCCACAGATCATACCTTAACTTTTAATGACCATTCTGGACTCTGATACTTCTGCCCAAGGCCTGCAGCCTTAACTAGTTTGAGGCACCTGGTTAATTCAGTATGTGTGCTCTCTATTACCCCATTGCAGATGTTAATAAAAATATTGAATACTGCTGAATATTGAAAATCTTGCATAAGACGACTCTTGAAAGAAGTCTATAGCAAATCATCACTACTTCTTCAGGGGCTTATTTATTTTTACACATATTTTTAGAAGTTTTTTTTCTCTCCTGAACAGTCTCATTTTGACAAATGAGATAAACCACTGAGGTAATAATTCCACCAATAATTGAAAGGAAACCTATCAATTTGCAGTAGAATCTTACAATATTTGGTTGAAGAAATTTTATTATTGATTAGTGTTCCTGTTCATGGACAATGTTTTGTATCAGTAAGCCTTGTAGAAGACACTTTTCAGAAAGAGGTTAATAGTTGAACATGATGTATAGAGTCACAAATGTAAGAAAAACTCCACCTATGAATTTAGAAGGCTGACAGCCAGGTAAATAAAGCTGTAGGAAGTTTTTGCAGGTGATTACTACTGAATGAAGCATTATGGTACAGGTTATGTAACAATTCTGTCAGTTGACAAAGTAATACAGAAGTTACCAGAATGTTAATGTCTACTATTGTAAGTATTCTTTTGTCACATTCAGAAAGAAAATATGTCAAATAGTTCCATTCTAATTTTGCTTCTCAGTATAAAATAATTTTGAAATTTAAAGCTAAAACTCCACCTTTTTATTAAAATAACTGAACTGATAAGCAATGAGATTAGGACTAGACACTATCAGAAGTACTTAAAAACAGATTCCTACTTGCATATATAGCATTGATTTCCACAACGTTAAGAAAAGTGTTATACCTTTGCAGAGGAAAGGCTGATGATATGTTGATCTTTTTCATTTGACACAATTTCCACAACACTATGTTCGTGTCCTGATAGCTTCCCCGTAGGCCTACTATTAACAGCAGGATGCCACAAACGAAGCAGTCTGTCCTGACCTGAAAGAAAAATAAATAAATAAATAAATATAGTCTGAAAGACTAAACAGGAGCACTGGTATTACAAATAAGCTTCCTAATGGAGAGCTTAGTGTTGCCAAGTCTCTGCTTTCACCATGTAGGCAACTCCCACTTACGGATGTGAATTTTTCATTCTAAAGGCTGGATTCCAGTTTATCCCCAAACTTGTATTAAAATCTCATAACTGATTTGTCTTTCAAAGCCTTTTTATTTTGCTAGAGGCATGTCAGGGACACCAGGTGTAACTACCTGCACCAGTCCCATAGCAGCAGAATAATTTATTAGAAACAGAACTGAAGCTCATATTTTTTTTTCCTTCAAAGACCTAATTTACAAAAATGTCAAAACAATATTTGTGTCCACTTAGCCAGAAAATGAAGGGATGACTACCCTATGGAAGAGGGTGGGCATTCAGAACAGGAAGGGGAGCAGACATGAAATATGAAGGCAGATAGGAACAACAACTGCTAATGAGTGATTTTGTGTCTTGGATTAAATGAGAATTAGGTCTTTCACATTTATTTGTATATTCAAACATTAAATTCACCTACAATTTAGAGAATAATCTTTGATTGCATTATAGATTAATCTTTTGATACTATTTTCATAATAGTTTCTGTAAATGTTTCAAAACACAAAGAGGTTAAAAATATAATAGTAAACTCCTGGGTTTACATATTGATATAAACACAACTGTATCTAGTGCTCTGAAATATTTTATATTTTTCACATGAGTTTCAAGAGAACATGAGCCCAGTTTAAATTTTACATTAATTAATTCATATTTTAACTTTCAATTCCTGGTAAATATTGCAAGTGTATGAATTGTATGCAATTAGCTGAACACTCTGTTTTGACACACAATAAATGAAACAGCCATATTTTATCTAGACTTCATTTTGAGTTTTAATTTTCTCTCAGCTTAAAATGAAGTGGAGAAAGCCAAAAAAAACCTCCAGACTAGTAAGTACATGCCCCAAAAGAACATTCATAAAACCTCAAGACTGTGAAGCTCAGCTCAGTTTTGTTAACAATGAGGAGTTAAAGGTCAGCTCTTGCAGTCTGCTCTCCAGGGTTCTTCCTTAAGCTTGTTCAACCTACTGTCATTGGTCAGTCTCTCCCTCTCTCTCTCCAGAGATCTATTCCTTTCCTTCTTAATACAGCAATACGTGATTCATTCAGGAGGACCTCTTCTCCCTTTTCCTCTGCTAAACATTACTGTCCTCTCAGTTATATTGATTACACTGTTTATGCAGCCTCTCTCTAAATGAGAGAGGTTCATTGGAGAAATTATCTACTCTTAAAATAGCTACAACAGCAAGTAATTTTGGTTTATGCCAGATAATTTCATAAGTGTGACTGAAAGTGCAACCATGCAAACAGCTGGACTGGCACAATAGAGGGATAACTTCTGCATAGGAAAGGGGAGCCATGGATAAGTAGCTGACCAGCAGTAACTTCAATGGCAACCAGTTGGCTGATAGTTTGCCAATGGCAAAACTATTCTGAATTAGCTTTCTATGCTGTAAGCATGACAGGAAGTCACTTAAAAAGGCTCAAATTGCACAAGAGGTTTGTAAAGCCATTTAGAATGGAGAAACTAGAGAACATTCTGGGACCCTGCTCATTTCCTCAGGTGGTGTGTTGGGCTGTCATAGACATGTCCCATAAGTTATCAGAAGTCTTGTAACCAGGCCAGTATACATTACTTGAGAAACAAGACCATGGAAGTAAAACTCATCTGGCAGACCTTCCATGAAGTCAACAGGAGGACAGGAAATATGGTAGATAGGAGCCTCCAGTGAGACAGGTGAGATCAGCTATAATCAGAGGGAATAGACACTGCTTCAGCAACAGGCCCTTTAGCAGCCCCAAATGGAAACTGTTATGCTTAAAATACCAGTGAACTAGATCCAAGCTGTTGATAGTATCTCACCTACTCAACTACCTACATGCTGCACTTTTGAGGAACAGGATATTTCTTAGCCTTCCTAATTGCTCTGTTCTTTACATTTCCAAGGTGATGGCAGATGAATGGAGGGGAGGGTAGTGCCCTTTAATTGTGGCACAGAGAGTTTATTTTGAGAATCGAATCACTAATACATGTCCTTTACTTAAGACATTAACAGGAAGAACAAGTGTCATGTGTCATTAGGAAAGAAAACCTTTCCCTATGTTAAAAATGCTATTTGCTTCTTATGTGAAATAGTGGATTAGGTTTTGTTCCTTTTACTGATGCTGAGATAATGGTGGATTTGGTTGTAGTAGATGTGTTCTCTCCCCTCTTTCTGGACTAATGCCAGATTGGCCCTAACATTTGCTGCTTCACTGCTTCACTGGAACATTTGCTAGAACATTTATTCTCTCTATGCTTCAAATATGCCTCTAGGATTCAGAATCCTGACACAGAAGGCATAGGGACTAAGCATATTCAAGAAAAGCTTGAAGAAGATTAATTATCTGTCTACATATCAGACAGCAAATTTTTAAAATTCTGTGAAAACAATTATTTGGATCATAATGGGCTCAGTTTTATGTTCTCCATTCCAAGATAAATAATTATGAAAGTATGTGTTTAGGAGTTTTTAAAAAGTCAGTTTCTGTGACCACAGCTCTATTCTAGAAAGAAGTTATGGATTCCAATGCATTCTTTGAACATGTGATCCTTTGTCAAATTGTTTTCTTTGCTCACACATTTTTGCAATTTGTGTGGTAGTTCAAGTCTGCTGAGATGCCTGAATTTCAGTGGTGTTGAAAACCCCTTGAGAATAATAGCTTTTCTGAATGGAGAAAATGCTATGCTTAGCTTGGCATCCTCTGAAAAACTAGAAAATAATAATACAAGTCCTAATTTCTATGTTGCTCCTCGCACACAGAAGGACCTCTTATTCTTTAAAACAACTTGTCATTCTGTCAAGCCTGTTTTTTAAATAATCTTGGGTTGTACTGCCTGGAAAACCTCTTCAGAACAATTAGACATCTGGTAAACTAACACAAGTTCATATATTTATCATATTGATCAATGTCTCTTTCTTTTTTTTGTGCTGCCTTTTCTGTCTACATATGATCTTCTTAAATTTAGACTGCATCACAGAAAAGAGTCTGCTTATACTTGTGAGGGCTAGTATTAGTGGAGTTCTGGGATATGATTTCTATAAGTATGATTCCTGGGAATTCCTGAAAATGTCAATACCAATGTATAGTGCCAGTAAGAAAAAAAAAAAAAAAAAAAAAAAAGTTATAAAATGTTGCCAGTTACTTTACTTGTGCCAGGAATACACAAAGGATACTGGGCAAGCACAGAGACTTCCTTTTATCAGTCTTAAGCTGCTTCTGCTAGATTTAGAAATCAAGAATAGTTTTTCTTCTACTTTATTGCTCACAGAAAAATAGCTGGATTTGAAGAAATAATAGGGTTAGAAGTTGATGTATCACATAATTTAAAACTTATTATGTCCAGCTTTTATATGCAGACATAATTTGATTTTAACTCTAGCTGTTCCCTGAGGTGATGATTAAGACATAGCTGGAATTGAAATGCATATAGAATAAGAGGAAAGTCATATCTCTGTCCCATTCAACATAATGCAAAACACCATGCAGAAAAATTCCACTAAATTACTATGGGCTCCATATTTTAGGCCACTATCAGGCTTTTATCATTTTATTGGTTGAAGAAATCTAGCTTTTAGCATGAAAAATGAAATCTGTACTAGGTTTGCTTGTGTCTTTCTTATTCATTGTTATAAATGTCAAATATCTGGAAGACAAAATCAGTTTGTGTCACAGTATTGTCAAACTCATGAGCATATTCAAATAAAACAAATAAATTTTGGAAGAGTAAGGGTGTTAAAACATGATTTTTTTAATAGTCAGTTCCTAGTGTAATAATACATTGTGGTATTTTGCATACCACTTGTGCTATAAACATCTGGCTAAATAATAATAGATTGTGGTTTAGCAAAGTGATTAGCAGATTTATTCCCACTCAATACTTTAGAAGCTAGCCTGCAATTGAAGGCTGGATTTTTTTTTAAATTTTAATTGCTGAATGTGACATATAAAAATAGTTTTTACAAATGTTTGTACATGTCACTAAGAAATCTATATATTATGATTCCTGAATTATTTAACTGCTCTGGTCTTTGAATTTTAGGGTATGTTACAGGTAAAATTGTAGGCTTTCTAATCAACAAGACTAGCCTGTTTATTTGAAACAGTTTAATTCTCTCATTAACTGGATCATCAACATGCATTTCTCAGCCAGACAAGAGAGAGAGACAGCTCGTAAGATACAGAGTCAACCATAGTGTGCTCTAGTCGGACTGACTCCTGTTATGAGCAGTGTATTTTATTAATAGAGCACTGAACTCTAAAGCTCAACTTCTGAAGACTTTAGTAGATGGTTCTCTCAAGTGCCAAAGGATTATTCTTAATTCTGGCTGCAGCTTCATAGTAGTCCCTGGCTGATCTAAAATTCACAGTGAAACTGAAAGAGATGATCCCACCCTGGCCATGCATTCCCAGTCTCTTCTGTGACTCTTAGTAATTCATCTCAGGAATAATTTCTTTCTGTGTTCAAGGGAAGCAGCAAGACTAAGCACTGGAAAGGAGGGTGAGAAGCAGCAGGATGCCTTTTAATGTCAAGATGAATGCCAGTGGGTAAACAAGCAAGACTGGATTCCAAATTATGTGTAGGTAAATGTTATGATGCAGGAATGGACTGGACGAATGTTAGAAGTAAGTGCAATTCTTATATTTTTTCAAAATCATCATTACAGAGTCTTGAATACGATATTATTAAACTTTTGTCATGTTGCCCATGTTTTCTGCATTTCTGTCTAGCAGAAGTCAAGATAAATTAAAATGCAATGTTGAGAAAGCTCATCTCCTTCTAAAAAATTCTGATTAGGTAGCCATTTATATGGGATAGGAGATCCTCCATTCTAAGTCTAGCCTCCAGCCACCACAGAGAAATAATGCAATCTATCGTTCTCAAAAATCTCAAGCTCCGTTTTAAACTGAGGGGGACATTTCTTTCCATAACTGACACCATTCAGAAGACTCTTCCAGAACATCACTGCTCTAATTTTTACTCTAATATTTGTTCTTCTGATATTTTTATAGATAGCAATGATATTCCTTGTTGTCATTTTGCTAGGATATAGAAAAGACACTTTTTTGTCTCTTTGTGATAGGTTTAGTCCCTATGTGATAGGTTTCCCCCACCCTTTTTTCATATTCAAATAGTCTTTCTCAAACATGGCTCATATCAACCATACAGTGGATTCCAGTACAGCATGAGGTTTTATTAGTGTCAAATCAGAGAAGTTAATTCTTTGTTACCTGCAGAACAGATATTTCAACTAACACAGGTACCTAAGGCAATCATTGCTGCATGATTACCCTATTCTTATACTCTGCTGTAGGTGTTTATTGCTGGTCACTTGTCAGTGAGGGGATAGTGGGCTAGGCCGACCTTTGGTTTGGCCTACAATAGCTATTCTTATTTTCTTAGGAAGTTTATTCAGATTTGTCTCTTCTTCTGCTATTTCTATAAGAAGAATTTTCAGTGTGCAACAGAAACTTTTATTAGTTCCTGTGTAATTGACCTTCTGTCCTACTCAGAAACTGTACCTTGTTTTTATTATTACAGTAAAATCCTCTGTTCTACCTGTAGGAAATACTAACCACTTTCTGTTTTATAGGGCTCCTTACCTTATGTCATCAGTAAATTTCTCCAGACTACTTTTTGTGACAAGGTAATAAATGTAAATAAGATCTCCCCCAAAGCTGAATTTCAAAATTTTCACTAATAACTTTCCTATTGCCCTATTGCTTTCACTTTAAATCTTTTATCTAGAAAAACAATAGAACTGACTGATATTTATTTTTATATCTGCCACAATTTTCCCTTTGGTAAACTCCTACAATTCAATTTGAATTGCATTATTTCCCATGTGTAGGTCTTTGGTTATTTTTTTCTTTCCAAATTTATTTTGCTGTCTTGTGTATTATCAAGGCTGGACAGCAGAGCCTCGGTCATTTTGTTTTTTTCTTGTTAAATATAGACGGAAGAATTGCTATGTGATATATTATTCAAAACAATTTTTAACAAACTTTTGAGCAAGACTCCTGTACTGAAGACTTGAGATAGGCAGCATAGATGTCACTCTAGGGCAGCACCCCATCAGACAGAATATGCAAACAAGACTGCTGCCATACCTCCAGTCATACTCTGCAGCATGAAATAAGCTCACAAAATTATTGGATAACAGGGAAGAAATTGATGTAAGAGTGCTATTTCTGTAGTCTGCTTAGGGAGAAGGAATGAACAGCCAGGCTTTGGGGAAATGTGATCAGAGAGAAGAGCAAAGGAAAGCATTAAGATGGGCCAATGTGATTTCTTAAGACAGGAGAGGATGCCTGAAGAGTAATAGGAAAAGATGGGAGCCCTACTGATACTGCAAGGAGTAATGTGTATAACCTGGCCAAGACAGTTACCACCGTGACTTAGAAAGGTTCCTTAGAGAAGATCAATGTACTGCTTCTCCTGTATTATATAAATAACATGATACTTGAATTAAACCCAGACTGAGCCCTTGATAGATTCCTGTCAGGAACTGTATCTTTTTAGAGTGAGGCTCCCAGCAATTAAAAGCAAGACCTCTGTTTCCTATCATTAAGACAGAAGCTATTATTTAAATTTTTAAGAAACTAAATCAGCTTTATTTGAACTTATTTAACTGGGAAAAAAATTCGCAACAGAACAATCTCTTGGAAAAAACCCCAATACTTACCCCCAGTGACAATGACTTTTGCTTTTCCACAGTATATGAAGGCATTGACCCCTCTAGGGACAGAAAATTCCTTTACAGGTCTGTAATTATTAATAAAACAGTTAATCAGGTAAGAAATATTAGGAAAATACAGTCTACAGCAATTCCACTTTTTTTTTCTGTAGTATATGGAATAGCTGTTTGCATAAGGTACACAATCTCTTGTTAAAAGAAAATGGATTTATAACAGTGACTTATATACTCTTAGCAGCAATAAAATGGCTACAGGATACACTTTCCATTAAAGTAATACATCTCTGATATGAACATCTGAATCCTTTACCAGTCACACTCCAAACAGAATCCAAAAATGGGAGCTGTTGCCAAAGTAAGCCTTCACACACATCTGCATGCTTAAAGCAGTTCAACATTGAGGAAAAGTATCAAACCAACTGCCTTTGCCTGTTTTTGGCATAGATGTTCTACTGTGGTCTCTATTTCGCATAAGGTAAGCACAGTTACTTTTGTCCTGCTTACTTATAATGTATTGTATAATGCATAGTCTCTATTTTATCTATTTTCTGTTGTATATTAACATGAAGAGACTGCAAGTTTCTGAAACTGAACTGAATTATTCTGTTGCATTTACTGCAAAAGCACAGGAATTTAAAAAATTTTAAAATAGACTGTGATTGACTTAGTGTCCCTTCTAAACTCACCCTTTGAGCAACATCTGTTTATCTGTCCATGTTTCATGCATTGCTACTAATGAGTGAATATTTTCTTGATTTTTAGAGTCAGCAATAGCATGGTTAACAGTTTATCTCCCAGGAAACAATAACTGTCAGTGTAATTAAGCTATACAGAATTAAATGAAATCCAGACAGTTCATTTAGTCTGGGCTAGAGAGTAACCATGTAAACCATAGCTGAGGGTGACAGTAAATTTTATAAAAGACTCTGGAAACTCTGAGGATTAATGAAAGAGCTTGTTCTTTCTAGGCAAGTGTAAATACATGTCTCTTCACTCCCTATTACTTAGAGGGAGCAAAGCTTTCTTTCCAGAGCTCTAACAGAGGAATCTTAATTGTCTTGATGGTATAAAATAGCAAGTAATTGATTTAGACGTGTGATTGTCAGATTTCCTCAGGATTTCTCATATTTTTCCTTTATTTCTTAAATTTAATATTTCCATATAACTGTTTATTGGCTTTTTAATAAATGGTCTTGGTATTCTAACATCAGCATGAATAAGAAGTTTCAGCAATGTGAAGTCCTTCCCAAGTTATGGCCTTGCAAGAGAAGCACCCAATGAACCCATCTACACCTTCCTTTTTTAAGATCCTTTACAAGAACAGGTTTCAACTGCTTATCAGTCATTATCCACAAAGAAACTTAACAGTCACATAGGAAACAACATACATTGCATCCCTATTCAAGCACAATAACAACGGTTTGCTGCAAAGTTAATTGGGGAAATTTATTTTGCGAGCACCAGTAAATCATATAGTACAACCATATTTACTTACTGAATGGGTGTTTCAAAGTTATTTGATGCATAGGATTTTTAGGGCTATTAATTTCATTTTAACAGCTGTATAATTTTTTAGTTATCTAAACATAAATTGATTTAGCTGCAGCATGAATCTGCTTAGACAAATGTATTTATTGGAACTAGAGACACAATTATAGTCAGTAAATGAAAAAGACCTACCAAGATATTTGCAGTTAATGTTCTATATAACAAACTGTGTATGGTGGTAGCATATACTCTTTTGACTATACTTCTGGCTCTGCAGTCTTTTTTTTTTCTTTTATCTTCAAATTAATTCTATTTTTTCCAAAACTCCCAGCAAAATTAAATAGGATTTCTAAGCTTTTCTGCTGACACAGTATATGACCTTGGACAAACTGTAATTATTTCATATTTCACTCTCCCCGTTCACAACAGACATGTAATACTCATAAAACCTAAAGTTATTGGATTGATGCAAGAATTACTACGTGAATATTGATGGCTTGTGTTATACAAGAGATAAAACAGATTATTATAATTGTTGCTACTAGCCTTAAAAATCTATTAATCTCTGGATGTACCTCACAGAGGGACTGTAAAGCTAAACTAACATTTACCATGCTTTATGTTATCTATAGTTCCTTTCTACATCAAATTGTGTTTGTATTATTTATTTATTGATTTGGCTATAAAGTCTTCTAAAATCACAGACTAGTAAGGCTTGAAATCAGCTATAGCACTGATGGACCATATGAATGATATGGTATAAATGAGGAGGCCACAACCCCTTTCCTGCTGCAGAGTAAATCCCTTTCACAGCCCTCAGAATAAATCACTTTCTTGGTTTAAGCTTGTGTAACTGCAAGTTTTGAAACTGAAACTCTAAATAAAACTTAGTTGTGGATATAAATTTTAAATGAATGGATACATGCTATACATGTTAAAAAGCAATCAATTTTCTAACTAAAATTAGCCTGCTGAGGAGAAGGTGGAGCAGACAACACCGCCAACAACTTTTTTTTAAGGGTTGTGAGTAATGAACATAGAAGGACAGTCCTCTACTACATCAAAAGCTAACAAACAAAAATGTTCAAGTATTTAAGTAGTTGTATTAACAATGCTTATAGAAAGGACAACTTCAATAAAACAGGATGGTATCTTGCAAGGCACTGATCTCATGCAGAGTTATAAAGTGCAAGGTCAATTTTTTCAGATGTCTTATACTTACAAGTTGTCCTCTAGTCGCTTTATGTCATCCAGAACAAATGAATGAATGCTGTCTGAGGAGCAGGATCCAAAACAATTTAGGTCAGAAATATACTTAACTTTCAGAACCCAGTCATCATGTAGCTTGCGTTTAACACTAGGGATAGAAATTGAGATGTAATTAGGATATACTGGTATCTACTGTAATATGCCCCTAAGTGGATAGGGATTTAGTCAGTGAGATTATACACAACCAATGCTAGCATTTAATATCCAGGGCAGATACAGAACCACTCTTTCAGCTCAAAAGCAATCAGAGCTAAAGTTAGGGCTGAATCACGTGTTTCTCTAGTAGCAATTATGCTTCCATCTAATTCGGCACAATAAAGCTGTGCCTATGTCGAACTGGGTAATGACAATTGTGACTTATTCCCTGGAGTTTTATTCTGCAGAATCTCTGTTGTAAGATCGCTTATAAGATCTCCTACTGAAAATGATGGCATTTCCTTCACACAACAACAAGAAAATCATACTTACTGCAGTTTGCAAAATTTTCTGTTAGGTGTGTCTAATTTATATGCAAAAGGTAATCCTCCATTTAGGTCAGAGAAAACTCAAATTCAAAAAAATAAAATTGCCAGGTTAATAATGTTTTATTATAAACAACTTACGTGTTAAAAGTTTTGGAGTCCAAGACCTGAAGTTGTGATTCTTTTTTGCCTTTATGTCGTTTCAATGCAAAGTGATCACTGGACATAGTAAGCATGTGAACATAACCCTTGTCATCTCCCATTAGGATATTATCCTCAGCCAGGTGATCTGACATTGTCACCGTGCAAACACAGAGCAGAATATTTTCTATTGGTTGGATGATAAAGCAATTCTGTGAAATATGGTAGATAGTTTATTAGATATTGCACACAAACCCTTAAGTTGACTGAACATACCATACTTATTTACTTATATCAGTATTCAGTTCTTGACTTTGTTTTTGCAAGCTCCCCCTGTGACAGCTGTTACCTGGTATTAAAAATTAACGGAAAATCATCACTAAGCAAGGTTAAATGCACACTTTACGGATTTCAGTGAGGCCCTTATTTCATAGGTTGGCCTTTCCATTTCAGTGAAGAAGTATTCATTACAAATTTTAGGGAGGATCTTGCCATGCTAAGTGGGATGGTATATTTACTAAGCCTGTATATGTTCTCCTGTTCAAATATAAAATGCTGTCTACAATAAAATGGGAAATAGCCAAATTAAGGAATTATTCAAAAACAAAATGCCACAGTAACACACAGAGAGAAATTATACCAGAGTCCTAATTATTAATACAGCCTGGAAGTACCAACTGTACTTATATGGGCAGGTGTTTGAGTTTTCAGGAATTAAGATAGTGAGAATGAATACAGCTGTTAGCCATTGTGGTATTTTGCTAGACTGAGAAGTCCTGGGAATGGAATTTTGGGTCATTTGCATTATACAGTTTATTGGTTCTACTGCCTGACTCCATCTGTTATTTGATTAAAGCATCCTTGCCAACCTAAACTGGCAACTGCTCACATGCCATAGCAATTAACTTCTTCAATGTCGTCTGTGTGGCACAAAAACATTAAAGTGACATAACACAGATACAGAACTGTCTATTCCTATGGTCTCTACTGCTCCCATTCAGCCATAGTACAGTTTCAGCTCTCACTGATGTAATGACTGGAGGAAGCCATTCAAGAAAATTTTAACTGATTGCACATACACTGTCAACATCAACATGTTTTTGATCTTAGAAAGTCCCAGACAAAATGCAGGATAAGAAGAAGTGTTTTCTTTAAACCAATGTTAAATTCCTCAGGAAACCTGTCCCTTGATTCTTAATAGATTCCAAGATATACATATGCACATGCACACACATTAGCTATACGTGTGCACACAAATGCATCAGATATACATAGAAAACAAATTATTTTGGGGTTTGTTTGCAATATAGTACAAGATTTTCCTCTTTTTTACAAGTTTTTAAGACAGTGCAATGACCCCATTTGGTGTGGAAAGGGTATTCTTTCTTTTGTACAAATTCCACTGTTTCACTGAGTTGCTACAAATACAAAAGTTAATGTCTTCATCCTGTTAGACAAAAGGAACATGAATGTAGATTGAAAACAAAGACTAATCTTTTTCAGGCTTCCTCTTTAGCATTGTCTCATTCAACATTCTACCTGACTCCCTTTTGATTTATAGTCCCAGACGATGACTGTCCGTTCAGTTACAGCCACGACACATTTCAGCTGAGGTAGGAAATCACATCCAGTGATCCAAGCAGTATCCTGACAAAAATAAAAAGGGTAGCTAAATAAGGATTTTCTCTGTAAATTTATAACCTTTGTCATTTAAGTACATATTTTAAACCATCTACACATAAATTCTATATACTCTGCACTCGTGGCTGCTAGATCGATTCCCAGTTAATGGAACTGAGAGTTCTAACTCCAGGAATAGCTCTCATGAGAAGTTAGGCTCTCATGAGAGCTCTCAGGCTCAACCTCTGTTATCAGTGACTCACCTCAGATGCACAGATGTTGCACATGAGAGGATACAGTACCTCTATACTGTTAACTGAACTGTGATGACACTGAAAAAAACACACTGAGCAGAGGAAATTTAAGCTATAACATCCATGGTAAAGCAGATATAAATTTTTCTTGGATACATTTTAGTTCAAAAAAAAAAGCAAGTTAAAAGGCAGAAAAGATTTCAGCTATAATAGCACAAACCCTGCTGAGATAAATGCTTATGAAAATAAGTAACTTGTATTAAGTAATTTTAATTCTCCTAATAGGCTGATCAAATATTTACAAAGATTTACAATACATCTGCCCATATTAAGGCATCTTGCAAGAATACCTGCAATTACATAGGTCAATGTAAAATAATTTATCTTGCAATGTGTAAGATTAGGGTCTCAAATTCACTACTATACCGGACAGAATTTGAGGGGTTTTTTTGTTGAAACACTAGTAGCTGTTTGATTTTTTTTTCCTAAAAATGTACTGGACCTTCCTAAATAAGTGCAGGATTGAAACAGAATAGGCTCCATTTCATTTCCATTTTGGTTAATTTTAAAAATCTTATTTTATAGTTTATTATATAGGCTTTTATATTTATCTTACTTCTGTATTAAGTTCACATATTGAAATACAGAGTATTTTTTGTTATGTCTGCAATGTCAACTTAAACAACACTTTTTTGGCAGTTCTTCAAGTAAGCGATAACTACTTGTTATAAAAAACAGTTATAGTGGAAGTACTTGATAAACAGCTAAAACAGGGACCTATGTTGCTAAAGATACAGTCTACATCCACAAAGTGAGTTAAGAACCAAAAAGATCTGTGGGCAAGTAGTAATACAAGAAAATACAAGTAGTAATACAAGTTACAAGGATTTCTTGTGCTGCTTTCTACAATAAACACATGGAAAATGTCAGTCCTGCAGGGGCCTTATGGATTGCTCGTAATTCTTACAGAAGACTTTATTATCTGTGGCTTTTTAGAGTCCTTACAGTAGTGTCAGATAACAATGACTAACTGGTATGAAAAAGCTGGTTCTAAATTTGTAATTAAGTTGGTATTTTGTAGTGCTGGTTTGCGATGCAGTCAGAGTAACAGAGCTGCATTTTGTAAAGGTTTTGCAGGCTCCCACATGTAGTGAGATGGTATGGAGGCAAAAGGAAGATCAAAAGCAAGCAGTAAGGAGAATCTTTGTACTTGACTGCTTGCAGAGAAAGTCTAAGGGATAGATGTCCCTTTGCTTTCTTTTTTTTGTTGTAGTTGAATTTTAGCCAATAAAACAAGCCCTGATGAAAGGACTTAAAACAGTGATACCAAAATCTTTATTTCACATACTTGCCTAGAAACACAACCAAGAATCTCTGATATTACTTTGAAACAATTAAAAAAACCCAAATAACATTACAGGACAGTGATCTGAGAAGGCATGACTAGTCCTTATTTACAGATCAAATGCCCCCTCCCATGAAAAGTTCTATTCCCTACATATGCTGTCCTGGTAAATGAATCTTTCCAAGTCAGTCAGTATGTGCCTTGAGAGGGGACTTATCTCAATTGAACATCAAGTATTTCTCACCCAGTTCAGAGAAACAACTCGGTTAATCTGTGAGGATAATCTTGGAAGACAGAAGAAAGTCAGATGTCTGGTAACAGTTAAGGAAGAACAAATGGGAAAGGCTAGAGATTAGCTTGGCAACTCAAGGGAACTGTCTGTATCGTATTTAAACATCTTTTAGGCATATTAGCTTAAGGCTACTACTCTGTTTTCCCATACTAATGGTCAAATTCAAATGCTTTGAGAACACAGGACAGAGTGAAAATGGCTGTCATCATATGGGTTGTCAGGGGATATTCTTCTCTCAGGGGACAGTTTATCAATTCTAATGGAGGAATTAAGCAAAATATTAGAACAATGATGTTCACATATCCAGCAGTGAGCTACAGTTTCCAGACAAATTTCTTTAAATTTCTCAAAGTTTCCTTTAACCTCTCTTCCTCAAGGCCTACTTTCAAAGTCTACTCTCCTGCAGCTTGGTTCTAAAAGAGCTATAGGTCACCTCTTTGACATTCTGTAAACTCTAGTCTTTTTCTTCTTATTCCATTTCTACTTGCAGGTAAAAATGCACTGGGTATTTACTGGGTGCTGGCATCTGACAATGAGATTTTCAAGTTTTTATTTCAGCTGAGGTTAGAGCCCTTTCCACAGCACAGAATAACTGAAAAGGGAAAGCTAGATCCTTTCTCATTGATGATAGAAAGAGATGCCAGGAACCCTTTGCCCCTTGGAAAATCTGATATAGCACTGGAGACAATTATTTATTTTAGATTTTCATACATATTGATAAATGAGATTCGACCTTTCACATCCAGAAAAAAAAACGAGCAACATTTAACTTTCCACAACGAAGCAACTAAACTTTACAAAATTTAGTTAGTTTCTTAATCACACAGCAATCTAAGTTAGTCCATATATTTACACTCTGCAGAGCTTTAATAGTCTCTGCTTCCCACCAGTCTACAGAATAACTTTGGTTGCACGACATTTGTCTTTAATAATTCCAGTGAAATTACTTAAATTACACCAAAGGTCAGTGGACATAAAGGCCTGGAGAAATCACTGTAATAAATGAGTTTGGCTTCCTGCATAGCAAGGCCCAGAGAATGTTCACTGAGAAGTTTAGAGCCTAACAGAGACAGAGAGATCATTCAAGTTAGCTAGCACTGCCTTCCAGGCCAGTTCTTGCTCAAGGACCTTAGCCTGTGGAATAAACAGGCTGTGTAAACAGCAGAGCATGGTGCTCTATCACTAATATCCAAAATGAATGTTCTTGACCAAAACAGGCTCCTAGTGTGGCTTGAGGCTACTCAGAAACTACTAGTATGAAAGTTCTGAAGAAAGCAATGCACAAATTAATAGATTAATTTGGTACACTGAGAAGTAGCTGATAAAAGAGAACAGTCTGCCAGAGACTATAAACAAAAAGTTCCAGCTTTAGAGCCACAGCTTTAAGAATTTATGTTAGCACTGCTGTACTTGACAGACAAACCAGGCAGCTGCACAGCATGAACCTTTTCATTATTTCCTTATTCCATCCTGTCACTCAAGGGCTCTATCTTCACTCCCTCCTTTCCAATACAGTTTCTGTTTCAGCTTGTCTGGTTCATCCACTGTGTCTGTTCATGCTTTTCTATGCTATACTAAGAGTCATTTCACTTCCATTCTTCAAGAGAAGTGACTTGCTCAGTACCAGTATTTCCATCATTATTCAATGATGATTCTATACTATTTTGGGGACCTGTCAGCTGGACAATTCTTAATCTATTTAACATGCACTCTAGTGACTTTTTTCAGTGGTCATATTTTAAAACAGAAAGTTGAAGACGAATACTATACAGAGTTTTAAGTGTATTATATTTATGCCTCTATTCTTTTCACTCAGTCACATAAGTCTCATCAAGAAATGAAATCAGGTTTTCTTGAGGTGATGTGTTCTCCATAACATCCCTGGAACAAAACACTAAATGATCTGTACTCATAGTTCTTGTTCTGTTTATACCATCATGATGCTGGGAAAGTTCTGATGGCTGCAACCCACTGGATTTGATTCCCAGAACTACTGTGTTTCACAGCCTTTCTGGCTTAATATCCTCAGGGCCAAGATCTCTGTTGCTCTGGTCTCTGTTTGGAAACAGCTTAAGAGTGAGAACACTGAATAGTAGAGGGTAGAGGAACCTAAGGATTATTCTGCAATTTGCTAGCCACCTTCTACACACGTCATGGACTTTTAAGGCAAGGGTTCATGTCACTTTGTTGAGCGATGACAGTTCTCTTGTTTGCAGGTCATCTGAAGGAAGCTTATTACTTAAAATCTGCAGTGATACTCCCAGGGTACAAATGAGCTTTTAAAGTACTTACTGTGTTGCCAACCAATCTACCTAGCAAGATGTAGACTGTTTTTCACCAACAAATTTATAATTTTTCTTATTTAAATTTTACAGTGACAATTGAAGTGTTGGAACTTCTAAGAAAAAATTCTGGAAAGGTAGTGGTTAAAGGACAATTTGGTAGAAAAAGCAGCATTTATCTGAGACTTCTTTTTATCAGAAGAAAGAAGTCAAGTTACCCAATTGTTTCGATAACTGAAAGGAATAAATTGAGGCTGTTTGACCTATGGCACCCTATGCTAAATTACATAGAAGTCTCAAGGTTGGAAGCAGCATTAGCATAATGCTCAGTTTCTAATTATTTAACTTTAGAACCTACGGCTTTTTAATTCAAATGATTTAACAGAAGAAGGAAAATTAACTTACGTCAACACTGGTGGTTGCCAGAACCCTCATCTGAAAAAGCAAAACATGTTATCACAATAACAAGTTAGCAATTAAATTAAATTAAAAGTCTGAATACAGTCAGCTCACCTGTGTCACGGGCAGAACAGAACAGTAATAGCCAACAGAAAGAGTTGTGGATAAGGTCTTATGAGAAAGATATTTAACCTACTGTCTGTTCCCCTATATATAGGGAGGAACTTAAACCTCTTCTTTCTCTCACAGTTGTTTCATAGTTTGCTTGTTGGTTTATTTTTGTTAAATTGAGATGTTGGAGTGAGTAAAATAAGTAAAAAAATACCAATTTTTTACAGTGGAGAGCAGATCAGCTGTTCTTCTTAGGGAATTGTTCTTCTAATGGTCCTTCACAGCTAGAACAGCTTCAACTCCTGTAAGAGGTAGGATGTGGCATCCCAGCAATTCCACATTTCATAAACCAAGAAGCTAGGATCAAAATCTTTTTTCCCGTAGAAGTGTCATCATGGACAGTCTTCAAGCAGACTTGTTATTGTTAATCAAGACTTTAACATCCACACAGTTATTAGATTTGTCTTTATCGACAGTAATATTAACCAGAGGGTGCATACAGAATTTTCCTTAAGGCTGCCTACTCCTACAGGTCTTCTGTGCTGATCAAGGCAGCATCCATGTCTGAGATCCTAAGAAGGGAAACTATCTGTCTCATGTTCTAGAGTAAGCAGGAAATGGCTAATAATGCAGAGCTGCATACAGGTGTTGAAGTATATTAGGTCCACAATTGTTGCAGAAAGCAATGCTTAGCCCTCAAATAGACAAACTGCTGGTCTACAAATGGATATTTCTTTGCCTTTACTTCAATTTCTGGTAGCTGCAGATATGTAAGAGAACATGGGATTTCTTATCAGAAACCAGGGTTAACCAGGGTTAACAAAAATCTCCAAGCCCTCTTTTAGACAATAATTAGATTGACTAGTGATTTTCGTAGTGGTTGATGGAACCCTGCACTGGTGAAATGGGAGATGATTTTGAAAGCTATCCTGATGCATACAGACTAAATTAAGCATTCTTAATGCCATCTAACATGACTGACACTAATTATTTGCTGATAAAAAATCTGATTAATTCTTATTTAACTGAAGTTTAATAGATTGACGAGCTGTGTGATGGTTTGCAACCTCTTTATTGTTCCTATTCTTATTTTTTTAAATGTTTTAAACTATTCTAATTTTCTACCTAATATCAAATAAAAACTTGTCTAGATTGTCAACTGACTGCAAGGACATAACACAACCATTAAGGAAATTGTCAAGTTATATTTGTTTTCCAAAGAGCAAAGAGAATAATACTAAGCCGATCTTGTGGAAAGCTTGAACTGGACATCAATTTACACCAGAGTGAATGAGTAGAATATGGACGTGCCTCTTCCCTCACATGTGTTTTCTTACTAGGCAAATGCCCCATAAGTGGCACAGTATATATATATATGTAAAATACAGCATATATAATTGTGTATTATATTAGATTCACTAATTATATGAGACCAAGTATTATTATTTATTATTATTCTGTGATTCTGTGATTTCATGTACATGGCACACACTGACTTCTGTGGGATATATGTGCATCCAAGAACACCATATGTTTAATAATCTGCACTTTAAAAATGCAACAATCATACAAAAATAAGCCTCTATGACTATTTGTTAATGCACTGCTCATGAACTTGTATTTTGGCCCCTCATCCAGACCACAAGTCCCACCAAGCAGCATCTCCAGGGCAAGTATCTTCATATTCCCTTACCAATATGTTGCAAAGCCAAATTAGTAAAAAAACCTCACTTGTTGAGTTTTTAAAGCCAGGTCTCTTTAAATCCTTGGTCTTTGAGAGAAGAAGAATGACGCAAAAGATGCCAAGTCTATATTCACATTTGTGATGTGAAGTGATATTCTAGCAAACAGGATGCATATGACTGCAATGCTAAAGAACTAGAGTTTTCTCTTCCTTGCATCAAGATGTATCAAAGCAATTCTAATGAAGTCAAAATTCATTTGCTCAGATCAATTGGGATCAGAGATCATATAATGAGTAAAAGACTGCTGTTGCAATGCCTCAGACATTTTCAGAACATACAGTTTTATAAGTGAGATTTGAGGTCTCTAATTCACTGCGTTAAGCAGCTGGGTGTAAAATCATTTATGCTGCAGTCACTGATGTCAGAGTGACATCAGTTCAGTCTATGAGGAGGCAGCAATTCAACTTGAAAACAGCATGCGAAGGTGGGGGTGGGGAAGAGAGCTATTTTTAACGTTATATTTGTGAAATTATTTTTTGTAGGTACGTAGAAGGCATAATGCTCTGGAGGACAGAGAACTAGGCTTTCAAATAAATTATTTCAGTATTTACAAAAACTGCTGTATTGCTTTGTGGTTTAATCATCCATAAGTGTCCTTTCTTGCTTTACATGCTCCTGTCATAAGCATTATGCACTGATTAGCTGAAACCCCTAGAAAGCATTAGTGCAGCTTTAAAGTTTTACTGTATTGTCTGAAACAATTTTTAATAAACTGTTTGTATTAAAATTGTACAATTGTAAAGTGCCAATAAGCACAGATGTGTGATATACCTCATAGCATCTAGAAGTGCATACCTTGAAATAGTAATATAATCATCTGGGAGACTCATTTAAAAATTCTACTTCAACAGTGACTTGAGCCTGAAGTTCTACTTAAAATGGTACAGGTCTCCTTACATTTTGCTGATGAGGGGAGTAACTGTGAAGCAGTGTCATGCAAAATGTCAGAAAATTCCAGACTTTCAAACTCCTAGATATTGCTGTATTGAATGACTCTTCTTTGCAAACAACCAATAAATGTTTCTGTCCATTCTGGTTATTCTTTGTAGTAGTACAAAACAGTTAATTCTCTGGTTTCCACTGTATTTGCAAAAGTTAATTCCAATAGCACATTTTGTATTAAGGGAAGCTTTTTCTAAAAAGAAATGCAGATTATTTTCTATTCAACTAACTTTTGTTAAGAATGTATTTTACTAGTCATGTCTACTTTCTACCAACTTCTGTGGACTGTTCTGTAGGTTTATAACTGAAAATAACAATGCTTATTTCCTACTGTACTTAAAAATCTAGGAAAAGTTAACTTTAATAAAAAAGATGCCCTTTTTATGGGTAAGTTTGCATTCTAGATCACAGTACACTTGGTTCCCATATATACTGCCTAATGGAAAAATAAAAAAAATTGTTTGAGTCAGAATTACCTGGTTGTTAAAAATAGTTATCACTCCTTTCTGAGAGGCTGTTACTGTGAAATCCAGATAGGGCACCTTCATTATACCCATAATCACATCTTGTTTCTTGACAACTGTCAATGACAAAATATTACTCTTCGTGTTACAGACACATAAAATCTAAACAACATCATAATATCAAGAACATTTTCTCTTCCTGAAATGCATATTTGTACCAACTCCAAGGCAGTAATGCATTATATCATAGATTATATATTATTACACTTGGTTTAAATAATCATGTTGCATTTTTAAATATTAATGAACTATGTATGTTCTAGTTCTTTCTACATTATTTAAAAAATACAGAAAGGCAAAGAATAACTGCATAAATAAATAGTCTGAATCAGACAAATTCATAACTTCAAAATAATTTGGGGAAAATGGAGAACTGGCCAAGGCAGCAGTGGAGTGTTTAGACACAATGAATTTAGTAAAAAAACCCATATATTCTGGAACATAGAAGAAGAAGCAGCAACATGAATAATAAGCAAAGACAGACATGAGATCTTATTACTGTACTTTCAATAAAATGTGCAACTTTTGGCATTAAAAAAAATAGTTTTGGATACAAGATGAAGTATGTCACCTGTATGAGTAATCTGCTGTTTTGCAGATACAAGGAAAACCATGTTTTCTTTTTTCAGCTGGGAAGACATTGCACCAGTTTCTCCTATGAAATAGCCAAAAATCTAAACAAAATAAAATAGAACAAAACAAGCAATTTATAACAAATGTACTTCTGGAATATATGTTTATATGTATAAAGTAAAATATTTATCTGACATTTTTATAATTTAATATTCTTTGAATAAGTTTCCTAGTGTTATTTGTTTAACCATTAGCTGTCAATACGACTTTAGATTGCTGAGGTCTGCTACTCAGGCACAATCTTTCTTCAATGTTTGGAAGGATTTCTAGGAATAAAAACCAACTAATTGATAAAGCTGTTAGTACAGCTTTGTCTTGTAATGACTATTTGTAAACAGTTATCTTCAATTTTCTTTTTTCAGTTTTATCTACTTGGGCTTCCAAAGTTAAATCTCTGCTAGAAGAAAAAACAGATTTCCATTTGCCTGAAAAAAACCCAATAATATAAAGTCCATTTAAAAAATGTTTCTTCAGCCATCTCCCTAAGCCTGGCAATGTTCCATTTGTACTGATGATGACGGAGAGCCTCAGACAGGATATTCAGGTAAGTAGCTCATTTCTGTTCCGGGTTGTGACAATACTTCAGCTGAAATGGTCGCCATACCTCAAGCTCTGTACCCAAGAGTAGGTTAGTTATTTCCTCAGGAAATCAGTTCAGTCCCACTCAGCTCTACAGATATTTTAAAATCTCCTTTCTCATATTATGTACATTATATACACACTCTTCCATGAGTTCTAAAAGCAAAAGCAATGCTCCTTTGGATGCAAGACAAAACTTTGCAATTTCTTTAAGGTCAACATTTTTCATGGTATATAACAGAACTACTATTTTTCTTCTTTGAGAGATTCAGATGTACACCTTTAAAAAAATATTCTCACACAACATTGCTCTTCATCTTTCACTTCACAGCTCCCTCCTTACCAGGCACACAATTATTATCTATCATACATCATCAGTCAATATATCACCTGTCTATTATAGCCCCTTACATTCCTCTTTCTAGTTTCTTGTAATATCACCTTGTCTTTCCATCCTATATCCAAACAGGATACAGAATTTAGTATCCTAAATGCCAGACCTTGGATCTTCAGTATCTTAGATGTTGGATGCAGTGGTTGGGCTAGGCCAGTAGCTGCCCTGAAGCCAACAGATGTGGAAGTTCTCAGTGAGAGACCCAGGTGTGTCCTGTCATGCTTCGTGTAGACATGATGTGGTGCCACATCTGATATTTTGCTTCTGCCCAGCAGGCAGAACACTGCCCAAAAAAGGGGCATCTTAGAAATCCCCTACAGCTGCATAAATGGCTTCTGCTGACTTCAACATGAAGACAGAGAATCCCAACAAGCTCCACCCCACAATGTCTACCAGAGATTGGCAAAGAGCATAAAAGATAAAGCAAAATGCAATTTACACAACTTTCAGAGGCTAGCCACTAAAAAACCAGAGTTTTCAAAGTACAAACTACATTTGGGAAAGGGATGCAGAGGTCAGTTTCCCAAGTCATTGATAAGTGATTGTATTGGGTTTGCGTGGTAAGGTTTTGGTAGCAGGGGGTGCCATAGGGACGGCTTCTATGAGAAGCTGCCAGAAGCTTCCCCCATGTCCGACACAGCCAATGCCAACTGGCTCCAAGACGGACCTTCCACTGGCCAAGGCTGAGCCAATCAGTAACAATAGTAACGCCTCTGTGGTAACATAATTAATAAAGGGGAAGAGAAAGAAAAACGGCGCATTTTGCAGCTGGAGAGAGGAGTGAGAAGATGTGAAACAACCCTTGTGGAGACCAAGGTCAGTGAAGAAGGAGGGGAAGGAGGTGCACCAGGTGCCGGAGCAGAGATTCCCCTGTAAATTGTGATGAAGACCATGTTGAGGCAGGCTGTCCCCCTGCAGCCCATGGAGGTCCATGGTGGAGCAGATGTCCACTTGTAGCCCATGGAGGACCCCACACTGGAGCATGTGGATGCCTGTAGGAGACTGTGACCCCACAGGAAGCCCACGCTGGAGCAGGTTCCTGTCAGGACCTGTGGCCCCGTGGAGAAAGGAGCCCACATTGGAGCAGGTTTGCTGGCAGGACTTGTGACCCCGTGGGCGACCCACACTGGAGCAGTTTGTTCCTGAAGGACTGCACCTCATGGAATGGACCCGTGATAAAGCAGTTCATGAAGAACTGTCGTTCACAGGAAGGACTCACACTGGAGAAGTTCGTGGAGGACTGTCTCCTGTGAGAGGGACCCCCCCGCTGGTGCAGAGGAAGCGTGTGAGGAGTCCTCTCCCTGAGGAGGAAGGTGTGGGAGAAACAACATGTGATGAACTGACCCCAACTCCCATTCCCTGTCCCCTTGTGCCGCTAGAGGGGAGAAGGTGGAAAAATTGGGAGAGAAGTTAAGCCTGGGAAGAAGGGAGGGGTGGGGGGAGGTGTTTTAAGATTTGGTTTTATTTCTCATTATCCTCCTCTGATTTGATTGGCAATAAATTAAATTTATTTTCCCCAAGTCCAGTCTGTTTACCCATGCTGGTAATTGCTGAGTGATCTTTCTCTGTCCTTATCTTGACCCATAAGCCTTTGTTCTATTTTCTCTCTCCTGTCCAGTTGAGGAGGAGGAGTGATAGAGTGGATTTTGGTGGGCATTTGGCATCCAGCAAGGGTCAGCCCACCACAGTGATAGCTGTTAGACTGTCCAGGATAGGTGTTTTAAATTTTGAAGGCAGTAAATGACTAAAGGTAGAACCTAATTTAACTGAAGAGAAGATTTTAAATTACTTTAATGTTTTTTTTAATAAAAAAGTGACCTTTGAGAATGGGTATATTGTTGTGGAGACTGCTGGAAACTTAGAAAAGACTTGAACATGGAGGTTCTCGAAAAAGAGAAGCATCAGGAAGATGAAGACATAGGAACACTCACACAAGGCCATGATTTTCTAGGTCATGGAAATATGTTTGGAAGATTTTGTCAAGCTAAAGAGAGGTCAGATATGGAGAAGTGAATTTGAAAAAAAATAGATCTGTGAGAGTAGGAAGAGAGGAACAAAGGGTCAGGAATAGAATGGTGGGAAAGGGGGATGGGAGAGAGACAGAAATGATAAAAGAAAAATGTCAAAGGAACCAAGCGATGTGTATCCCTCTTCCTTAACTTTCAGGACTGAGGGCATGCTCAGCAGTGCCAAAAGCAGCAGGGGAACTCAGAAGAACAGGGATGAAACACGGTCCTTTTAGAAAAAATAATCATTAGAAAACTGGAGCACAGACAGCAGAAACCATGATGGTTATTTAGGATGTTACAGAAAGTAACTGTTACCAATGATACATTTGAAAAATTAAGTGATAAAAAGGAAGGTGAAGCAAGATCAAGGCTATTTACATTGTTCACAGGGCATAATTAATGACATAACCAAGTTGCAGTTTATAAATTTGATATCTCTACTATAACTAGTAGGTTAATAAACATAATAAGAATTAATGTATCAGGTAAAAGAGGCAAAAAAAGAGGTAAAATTTCACTTTAAAGGAATGAAAAAGCAAAGGAAGATGAGAAAAGCAAGTGGGGTGTAGACTAGTCAAGTGTTAAATGCAGTAAAATTAAAAATAAAAAAAATTAAAAAGGAAAAAAAAAAAAAAAAGGTCTATGATCCTCACCAGTAAGTAAATGTGTACAACTTTGAGTGCCAAGAGGTGAAAAAGAGACAAGGAGACTTTAGAGCTGTAGTGCAGCTACAAGTACAAGCCTGTGGCACAGTCAGAAGAATAAAAAGCACTGGCTTAATTCCTGACATTAGTAACTCCAGGATTGCCTGAACCATTTAGAAACTGCAGAGTTTCTCAAAGGAAAAAAAATTTAAATAGACCACCACCACATAGTATGCAGATACAAATCAATCCCATTTTATTTCATTAGAACCTATTCAAATCACAGAATTGCAGAATGGAAGGAATTGGATGTGGCCTAAAGCTCTATCTGATAAAGAGGGCTTATAGGTAAATTCCCTAGAAGGTAGTTACGTGATGTTTTATGTCCTCTACCACTGACTGTTTCACAGTTTTCCCTCCAGCCCTCCTTGAAGAAAATCTATAATGCCTGACATAAGCAAAGTTTGTGAATAATGTGCCATTGTAAGTAAAAACAATGTTAGAGAGGTATTAACCAGAAATGTTCCCATATAGAAGCTTATGAAATTGAAAGGACCATATACACTGCCTTCAGCATGGTATTAGGAAATTAATTGATAGGAATTGCTGATAACATGTAGAGAAAAGGTCTTGGTTATCTTCAAGGTTCAAATAATAATGTGATGTTTCAGTGTAACGTAAAATGTAAATATGCTAATGAAGTTACAGTTCATGCTAATTGTTAATACCTTGCCTTATGGCTTTTAAGTCCAGCAAGGACTTGCCATATATGCCATGCCACCTATGTTATCATAGAAAAGTTACTGTGTGCTGGAAATTATGTCCCATCTGCACAATTCTGTCTTCAGGTAGAAAACAAGCAAACAAAATCTTGTAGTAACATATGATCATGGGTGCTCTTCATACAGATTGGCTCTAACGATGTAAAAATCAGTCATTTTTATAGAACAGTTGCTTGAAACACTATTCATGGGAAATGCCTTAATAAAAGATACTTTTCTACAGCAAGTGTTCATAATTTCTCATAATACATGAAAAAGAGAACACTATCTTTAAAAGAAACAAGACAAAGTACTTTTTCCCAAAATGTGTAAAACTGTGGATACTATGGAAGTATCCTTTTTAGATGAGTTCAGAAGTAATTTACAAATGGGTAGATTAAACGTCCATCAACGGATACTAAACAGTGCAGTTGCAACTCTGTCACAGAAAATCCTCTAGCTATATGCATCTCTAGAAGCTAGGAGAGTAAATCAGATGTGCTATTTCATAGTTACCTAATTCTTACATGAAGATTTGCTATTTACCACCATTAGAGACAGAAAAATGGATTACATCTCACCCATCTACAGATTCAAATAATACACACAGAATTCTCTGGTTAAAAAACTCTCTACTAAAATGCTGCCATACCTCTAATGCTTCACCTTTGAAGTAAAGAGCAGATTTATCCCAGTGAAGAGGGAAA